GTGTATGTCTGGACCTGGCGCGCTTTTCCTGTGTATAGCGCCAGGCTCCTTCGCACCTCGTGATGAGCATGATATATGTTTAGTCTGCGTTGAGACATTGATTGGGCTAGTCATAGTATTCTAGCATTCTGCTTCGCTATCTTGTACTACGTGAAAGGGGTTCAGTCCCGGTCAGGTCAGGATTTGTATCTAAGTCTTCCCTGCGCTATAAAGCACCATTTTGTATGTATCAGAGATGTGTATAAGAGACAGGTTTGGGCCTGCCCGTCTGGTCTGGTCCTGAATGTGGCCTAAAGGCCAACCGGTGGGCCTGCAAATGGCGCTACCAGTCTAAAGGTCCGGCCTTGGGCCTTGACCGGCCTCCGAACCCCTATCTGTCGGGCTTAACCGGGCCCGTGTGACATAGTATGTAACAATATCTGACCAGACAATCAAAGAGCTAAACCGAAAAACTATATCTATGGTCAGGGGACCCTAACAGAGAGAACCACATACCAAAGATTGCATGGCACTACATCATAAGGCAACCGCCTCAGGGTGACTTACGGATAATAGACCCCTGACAGGAAACAAGAGCCCTCCAAACCAAATGGATAGTCAAACTCCTGACCAGACATTTGCTGGCATGGAACAAGCTGGCGCTTTACAGCATCAAGAGCCTGGCGCCAACAACATCCCCCCCTAATATGTCATGACAATTTAGGGTAATGAATAAAGATTGGAGTCCTAAAACAAGGATCGCTGCCCTACTGGACGGCCCTGTTACGAATTTGGAGGGAAATTATGCCAGGAAAGATAAACAGACCCAGATCAAAGGAAGAAGTACTGAGACAATCGCTCTTTGGAAACCCATGAGTGAAAGATGAAGGGAACCACCCCTGGACGCTGTCCCAGTCGGGAAATAAATGGCTAACGCGGATCAAAAATGGGATCTGGAGAGTGAGAGATATATGAACGAGGAAAGGAGAGACTGGTTGGACGAAGATGAACTTAAACACAGACTAAAAGGCTGTCACCACAGAGATGAATCCCTTCTACAAATTCTAAGGGCACAGAAGAAAAAAAAAACAACTTAGGGCCACATATTCCTCATTGAATTTAGTTTTCTTTTTTCTTCCTGAAGGGCCCCCAGCAGAGCATCTGCAGGGCTCTCATGTGTTACCAGAGATTCGACCAATACCGGAAGAGAGAGGAGCAGGCCAGCAATATATCTTCTGGATCGAAGTCAGGTCTGTGTTCTAGCGGTTATGGCCTACAACTACTTGCTACAGTAGCTCTCTCTTTCTTTTGTTTTCCTTTTCCTACGATTAGTGGCCATAAGGGCCTGGCTCCACTCGTCACCACTTGCACAAAAGACAAAACATATATGGTGGCGTATGAGTCCATGTTCTAGCAGAAGATTCATTCTAGTTTTGCATATTAGGTGAGTAATGGAGGGAAGCCCTCAAAATCATGAGGTGAGTTGGCCTGCTACTGCCCAGATTATCATGTGCTCTGTGGTCCCATAACTGCTGAAACACGGACCTTAATGTGAATCTACACCATATATAGTTGGCGTGCTGCTGCCTTGCAATGTGTTTGAGTGCTGCCTCTTTCTCGGCGAGTAGGCCCTTGCTAACTATTAGCAGGGGCCTCTCAGATTACCCGCAAGGGTTCTCTGATAAATGTCAAAGGTCTATTTCCTCTCTCTCTCTCTCTCTCTCTCTCTCTCTCTCTCTCTCTCTCTCTCTCTCTCTCTCTCT